CACCGAAAGCCAAATAGAAACAGGGAATTCCCGTTCAACCAGAATCAATTCACACCGACAGATTCAATCAAACATCGGACAAAAGGGACGAAAATTACCACACTTTTCGTCTACCGATCGGTTCAATGTAATTCCGTCGCAGTTGGTAGAAGTATCACGTTGACCGCCACGTCACTCTTATGTGGATGACAAAGCTTTTTACTAAATAACTAAAAAGATTAATTTCGAAGGCAAACTGTCTAGAAAAATGAATCTGAATAAAATCCATGCCATGAATATGGAGAGGTTAAAAAAATAAATATCACTATGCTAGATTATACAGTTCCCAATTGTCTCGAGAGAAAATTTTAATCTCGAACAAAAGTCGAGCACTCGTCATTTGAATCTAATTTGAACTGTTTCTATTTAATACAAGAAAACGATTCGATGCAATTTTAATATTCGAACGTTCATCGTATCGAACGGCAGTTTGTCGAGAGAGCGGAGGATCGGGGATGCATAAAATTGCAAAGCAGATTATTTCCTGGCTCTCTTCGCCATCATTCGTCGATTAAAGTCTTCGAATTATAATAAATTATTCGCTCTCATTGATTTCTATTAAAAGTACTTCGCTAGAGCGATTGTTATTCAAATTCCATTTAAACGACAGTTTATTTAAAGATACAGACCCGATTAAGTTGTACCCGTACCATTCTCATTTTCTTTTTAAAAATAAAATTCGACGGGAACGAAAATTGCTAGAAAAAAGAGCCGAGGGGAAATTTGATATTTCGGCGTTTTTCGAGTCGTTTCAATTAACAAAAATAATGAAACATACGTTCTGTTGATTTTTGCATTCGACTGTCAGCTCCTCACGAAATTGTTTCTAGGGATTTCGGCTGTTACGGAGGAAACCGCCAGCTGACATTTGAAATTTAACCGTTCGGATGCGCTTTTATTATGCTATTTCGCAACACAACGGCAGATCGAGATTAACTAATAGGATAAATATAATACAGGTCGTCAGGTCCAAATGGACGGGGCTCTGAGAATATTGAATGGGCACGCTCGTGCGTGAATTTTAATCGGATATAAGCGTTATTTCGATCATTTCACATCATCACGTGACAGTTCTGTGTTGACGTATAAGCACATCGCTTTTATTCGCAATTTTCGACAGAAGAAAATGAAATTCTCTTTTTCCTTCTATAACATACGCTTCACTTGATTTAATTATGGGTAGATATTTATTAATTTCAATCTAAAGCAGAGTTGGTACATTATTTTTTTTTTGGATATACAAAACATTAACAAGGATGAAATCATTGTTTTAAATTTTATAACGACAAAATTTTATCGAATAATTACAGATTCAATGTTATACTTCAATTGCCAATGTAAATATTATGATCGATTACTTTTTGAAATCGGTAAAATAAAATTGACCTCAGCTCGCTCTCTGAACTCGAGATTTTAAAATTGGCCGTATCTATTCGTGATCCCACTTGGAGATTAATTTTTGTTTGAGAGGAATAGGTAATCAACGATCGTTTTCGTTTCAATGTTGAAGTATTGGATGTATTCGCGTCAAATCTCGTTGCGAATTCGGTGTAAAGTGAATTTTACGATCAGTATGCTGTGACCGCATTATGCACGTTACACTGGTAATGTTTGTTAGCCGTGTTTTATGATGGAGCATCGTTAAACTTCCTGATTTAAACGGGTTTCGAAGCTCACAAAGTTGCTTCATAAATTTCAATTTATTCGCGCAGAAACACGGCTCGAAGCGTTGTGTACTTTATTATATTTCACGTACGACGTGTGCGCGCGCGATGATAATAATTAATAATGGCCATTTCATAAAAACAACGTACATGTAGGCGAAACACTTCTGTCTCCGTATTTGAAAATGTATAAAAAGTTATTAAAAGCTTGGAAGTGAGCAGCTTACATTGCGCTTCAATGACAATTTTTATATCGCCAGTCGTTAAGGTGAAATTAGAAGTGCTTCGGCTGAACCTCGCCCCTTTGCACAATAAAAACCATAAATAAATGTTTCAGGACACTCTCTACAGCGAACACGTTACATTAGCCACCACGAATGAATTACGAGCAGAAAACAATGCGTGACGAGCAGAAGTTTCTTGTATCGATTCGTTACGTAAAATGTACTCCATAAAAATGTCCCCTATTCATCTTAACTTGTCTGTCCCGTACAAGACAATCACTGTGTCTATTCCTTTTGGTTTCATCTGTGCGAAAACTCAAACGTAACGTTTCACGCGCGCGCGCGTGTGTGTGCGTGTGTGTGCGTGTCGCGTAATGTATTCACGTGCGTGAGGATTAAACGGGGGCGAGATGTAAAACAGGTAAACCGGTAGGTAGCGACCGGGAATAAAGAATCGTGCACATATAACTTCGGTATTACGTATGCGCATAAGTTACCGCAAGCCAGCCTCGACATTTTTGCAAATATAAATCCGTGACTTCTTGGGAAAGCTCGCGTGCCACGTGATTTGTGGATCGTTCGATGCATGACGCGGCCGTTGTCGACTCACTCGCTGGGGACATGAAAGCGGAGAATCCGAAATTCTGTTTAGAAATTTTGTGTTGCGGCTGGGGTTCCGTCACGTTTTTGACGAATATCGCGCCGCAACGTAATTGGAAGAACACACTTTGTGTTCTGAAAAATGCAGGATTTTTCTTGGCGATTTAAGCAATGTGTTATTATTTTTTTTGGAAAGGAAAATTATTGATTTTCATCGACAGAAATAAATAACAGTCAGGGTAATATAATAGATAGATATAATACTGTATAAAATAATTATAATATGTATTTTACAAAATGTACTGTAATTATATGTTGTACTTGTATATGAAGTATTTATACATGTTGGCACGTAAACTCTATTAAGTTAGTTACTAAATTAAAAGCATACTTCATATACAATCTATAATTACAGAGATCAATTAAAAAGTCGCAATTTCCATCTACGTTCAAAATTATCAGAATGATAAAAAGTCACAAAATGTCAAGACTATCGTAACAAAACTCCAAGTCTTTTAAACGATAAGAATGACACGTCACATAATTTAAAAAGTATTGCTATAAAATTACAAACAAAAGAAATACTTGATGGCCAAACGAATTTAGAAAATCCTGTCCTGACTAATCACGAAAGTATACACATAACGATACAGCGTTCAAATATTAATGTATCAAGAATTGGGAATTAGATATCGGACATAATGGTTCACAATCACGCACAATTATGTAAAAAGCAAAGGGGAAAGTAATGGGATTAATTTTTTGTTCGACTCGGTTATTACGCTATTACTGACGATATATTTAGATTCCATAGATTTTGCATGATAGAAAGTGCTGTAACAATTTTGAACCTTGGATATAATCTAACATTTTTAAAAAACATTTCACAAAAAAAAGATCAAACAACACATTTGGAACGTAAATGTTTTTATCGAAGCAAATTTGATTAGCAGTCGTGCTGATTGGTTGGCCGAAAGTTCTATTTTCAAAAGACACATGTTAACTAAAAGTTTGGATTTTTCAAATTCGATGTTTTCTTGCTTTTTCGACTTTCCACCACGAGGGAAATGATTTTCTTTTGTTCGTCGAGTGTTTTTAAACTTGAATGAAAATGTTCCGCGATGGTAATCGGTCGTATTGATTATTCTGCATAGAAATGGGGTTGCAACATTCCGCTTTGAATAATGCAAGTGAACAAAGGGCGAAACTAATCTCGTGCATAAATACTCCCGTAGCTATTAATCAATATTAATTATTATTTAACAGCTTCATGTTGACAGGTTGCAAGCACCCCTTTTTTTTTTTTAATCGCGTTTGGAGTGCAAATTACTGGGAGATATTAAACGGATTTAAAACGAAAAATCAAATTATATGTGCAATGCAAAAATTCGATTTATCAAGGTAAATGTTTTAAAAAAAAAATTATTAAAATATATTTGGACCATTTCGATATTGTTGTAGCTTCCACTGCCACCAGAGTTTCACAACGCGAATTTGTTGCCCATTATTGACGCCAAGCACCGCGTAACGCGAAACTATACACACGATAAATGTTTCACACGCTTCCTCGCTGTTTCACTATTCACTTCTATTATTTAACTACCGAATGTCTACTATTCCTGTCCGTAGTATCCATGTTTCAATGTTCATTTATGATAAGTTACCATATAAACGTCGCACTGTTGATTTTTTGAACACGTATTGACAATAATTTCAAAGAAAATGTAGTGCTCGAAAAGTTTATCGTTCACACGGAAGAAGAGTTACTGGAACATAAAATATTCGCCCTGATTATAAAAGATTCGCATCCAGTTAACAATTTCCATGACAAGTAGCGCCACGCTTTCGAATTTGCAGAAATCAAGGGATGCGGAAAACGTTTCGTCAGCGTTACAAAATTGAGAGGGAAAAAATTTCGCAATTTTGGATGGCATCGATCGGAAATGCACTCGAGCATTAACCATTTTCGATATCATCAAACGCAAATCAATTCTAGGAAAGGGGACCACGCTTTCGTCGAGGAAAGGTTTGAGAAATAAACGTCGGAAGTTTCTCATTCGTGAAACTGACTCACGTTGCACAAATGTAAACGGTAGAAACCAATCTGAAAATAAAATCAATCAAACACCTACAAGCCTAACGATTTCGAAACTCGAGGCAGAGTATTCCAAACTCCATCAAACATCATTTTCGTTATCAAGAGAATGACGTCATGTTGAGCAGAAAGGAGGCTGAACTGGATTAACGTCACGATTGTAAGAGACTGATATGTTAACAAATATTAACATTATTAAACACACATGCACTCTGGACAACGGAGACTATAGAAACTGTAGAGAAACACACATTATAAGTTTCTGGACCCTGAAATTGGCTTGGGTTTCTGATAAATTCACAGTTTCCGCGGTGAATGAAAAACAGTCTCTTGCGTAAACCAATTCCACCATTATCAAACATACACAAATCAAGCCAAGACAACATAAACCGCGTATTCGTCGTAGGATGTTCTAGCAATGGAGCATTTGAAGGTTTCTGAACCACGAAATTGGCGGGTATTATTCAAATACATTCGGAGCAACCTAATAAAGTTGAAATTAATCAAACACCGTCAAACTTCGCGTCTTTCAATCTGGTTCGGAAATTTCTACATTTTCGTATACGTTAACCACTTTTAGTACTGTCGGAACATACATCAACTCCAGACAGTGAAGATCACACATACCTACGGTTACAGTCCCTCTCCTTAACCACCGCCGACATTACCAGACACAAATCAACCCGAGACAACGGAAACCAATCGTTCATCGTGGATTGTTCTAACAATCTAGCATCGGGAAGTCTCTCGGGCGCGAAATTGACTCGCGTTACACAAATACGCGCAGGTAACAACCGGACGAAATTAAAATCAATCAATCACTGGCAAACCCGACTCGACCCTAACGATCTCCCCGTCGGAAAGGTTCCTCAAACATCGTCGAAAGATCAGGTCGCGGCCACCCGGAAGCGGGTGGCAACGTCTCAGAAATTCACGGTCCGCGTCGACAGACAAAGGCGGAGGTTCGCAGATATCGGGAGGGAAAAAAAGAAGAAGGAAAGCCATCCAGCCCCGTCGTAGTCGACGGAATATCTCTCCCGTAGGAGCGGGTGAGAGGCTCTCCACACACGTGTCTGCCCTTCCTGCGTCACACGTTTTCCCCGATACTCGGCCGCGTAGCGCAATCTCCAATTCGTCGTTCGCGGCATCGGTGTTTCTCGTTCCCGTGTGGGTGTGCACGTTACAGACGGGATCCGTCGGGAGGGCGCATGTCTGACCGACGACGGCTAGGAGGGCGCGAGCAAGAGGGTAAACGCGAGGGTTAGAGGAAGACGAGAGCCCAGTGTTAACCCCCACTTTGCCTCTCGCGGCATCCGGCACTGCCGAGCCCTGGTCACTAGTCCGACCAGTCTACCCTGTCACGGCATTCTACGCGTACTCGTTCGTCGGGACTCCTCTTGGTCGCTCTTCTCGTGATCGATTGCAAAAACAAATAAAACGAACGGAAAAAAATAATAAGAAGAGAAGAAACGGCCGAGATCACGTTCGGGCGCGTCGCGTGGTCGGCGTCGCGATCGAGACGATAAACGCCGCGATACGGTCCGCGTGCACGCTCCGCGAGGACGGAGGCCGTTGATCGGCGATCGTTTCGTCGGATCGACGGTATTCCCGTCGGCGCGACGATGCTCGTCTAGGAGGAGCTACTAGTCGCTCGCGTGGGAAGTCGACTCGCGACTCCCATTAACGCTGAACGTCGAAATCTCATCCCAACACCGTCGAAGCTGCTGTTAGACAGCGAAGCTAATCCTAGATTCGGAAGGTAGCAGTCGGAGTCACTTTCTATCAAATCCTATCAAATCTTATCAAATCTTTCGAAGGAAAAAATCGTCCTGCGTTGAAACGTTTGGAATGCGTTTCAGTTTCCCTTTAAGGTTCGGTAGCACGCGGCTGGATCGAATCGAAGGTAGCCAGCCGGCGTCCGAGAAACCTTGACGGCAGTGATATGGAGATCACCTGAGACCACCACGTTCGACGTAGCCTGTCCATCGTCGGAATTTTATGGGATTTCGATCGACGTGATTACCGCGCGTCGCTGAGAAATTAAGTTACCGGTGCTGGAAGCTCGATCGATGCTGGTAGTTGCTCGAGAGTAGAGTGTCACGACGCGCGAGAGGGAGAAGTGGTCGCGAAGAAAGTGAGGCAAAAGTTCGTCGAGGTGTTCGACGACCTCACGTGCGTCGAGGTTCGCCGAGGTCGTCGACGGTTCCTGGTGGACGCGTGACCTTCGACTATGGTTCACGCGTCGATGACCAACGCGCTCGATCCTGGTCTGTCGAACCTGGAACACTCGAGGATCGTATCGATCGAGATCCTCTGTCGCGATTTCAGAAGAGATTAACGGGAGCGTCGAGGGTTCCGTTAGATATCGGGAACAAACTCGTGAGTGGTTGGTTCTAAACGTTCGACGAAAGCGGGAGAGGGTTAGGACTTCGAGAACGACCCGGTTAGCTTCCCAAAGGCTAATTGGCGTCACTTATCTTTCAGACCAGAGAGCCGTACAACGGGGTGGTTCGAGCTTTCGAAGTTTGCCCTTGTATCAGAGGCTGATCAGCTCTCGCGTGCGTTCCATTTGATCCACGTATCAGTCTCTGGCCATCGGATGCTGTGTACACGGACAGAGTGGATACATTTCGACCATTAACGCGCCGGATTCGTTTAGCATCGCGCGCCGGAGATTCGGGGAATAATCCCTTTGACTTCAAAGACACCTGGACCGGAGCGGAGTAATCAGCGCGTCCTTGTGCCAATTTGTACATGCTTGATTCGAGTGTCGAGGGAATGGACGTTTGACTTGTCTCCTTTGAAGGGTTTGAAGTCGAGGAGAGTAATCGTTGCGGTATCGAGCTTCTAATTGTTTATTATCTGTGAGATTTAACCAAAACACCTGAAGCAAACGCTAATGGATATACGGATCGATTTGGTTTCGTAATATCGAAAAACCCGGCATGGTGACATTATCCAAGACTTAAGTGCGGATGAAAACTGTTGACCACTGAAACATTCAGAAGTAGTTGTTTATTATAAGATCGGTTGTTTTTGAAGAAGTCGGAGTCAAGGAAAACAATCGTCACAGCGTGGAACATTCGTTTGAACTGTTTATTCCCTGTGTCTATAGACGACCACTAAAAAATATCCAGAAATGTCTGTTCGTTATAAAACTGGTCGCCTTTGAAGTACTCTAAGAGAATAATCGTCACGACCGTTTATTACCCGTAAGACGTAACCAAGACACCCTGAAGCACACGTTAACGAATAACCGAATTGATCTGGTTTCGTAATATCGAACCATTCAGCTGACGTTGTCCAAGCCTCTATATAAAAACTGTTACAGAAGATCACTGAAACACCCAGAAGTATCCGTTTACAACGAGTTGCCCTTGAAAGAAGATCTCGCGGTGTTCCCACGTGTGTAAACGTCTCCAACCGTGGCGAGATTACATCGAGGCGAAGCCGACGATTAAGGGGAATAGCTGGGAATAAAGCTCATCTTCTAGCGCGGGCGGAGGCAGCGCGTTTAATTCGAGAAAGTGCGTTCATCGGAAGCGGTGACGAGGAAATTCCGTCGAGTTGGAAAAGGAGCGGTTCGAGGACGTCGTTTCCACGTGGCTATGTCCCGGATCGGAATGTAATTTCAAACGATAGATCCCCGACACCGTCGAAGGTGGACTACGCGAGACCTTGCGACTCGGTGTTTGCGTCACGGTCCCAGGATTACAGACATTGATCGAGCTACGTAAACAGAGTTGAAGTGACTCCGGTAACTCCGGATATTCGAGACGAAGCGAGCCATCGCGACGGTAGTTTTTCATTAACTGCGACGGAGATTCCTTACGGTAGTAAAGAGGCGAAAATTGAACTCCTCTTGGGCGGTGAAACTCTAACAGACACCTCATGCTATTTTAATATTATTCCGAAACAGGGTAGCTCGGTCGTGTTTCTTAAAAGATCGTTTTAGGAACGGATCAAGCAGTAGACAATCACGGATGTCCGATTCGCGACATCTCTGTAACCCAACGAGAGACCAATCGTGAAGTATACCGAATCCTCTCCGAATTCCACCGCAAGCAATCCCAGCGGAAAATTGAAACGGGATCGAGCTTGGCGCAAGGGAAGAATTGGTTCCAGCATATCTCGCGACGTCCCCGATCTCCAGCCGAAGGATCTCGCTAAATCGAAGGCGTGGCAAGCCCGATAACGAGCGTTGAGGTCACTTATGATGGGCTGCAGACCGGCAGCTAAGTCGAAGGTGGAGGAAGGGTGCGGTCGCGGGGAGTCCGAGGCGGTTTCCTCGTCGCCTAGGTGTACCGAGGTCATCGAGCTTCCCAGCGAGACGACGATCATTCAGAAGAGAGAGGATCGGGGTTCGAGTAGCGCAGGTGACACGGAGGAGGAGGAAGAGGAGGGAGAGCTGACAAGGGAACGATCGCAGTGGACGTGGTACGAGTTATCCGTCGACGGAGACGCGTCAAACTTCAGATAGCTGCCAAGTGAGGATGCAGAGGCTGCGCTCGACCTTCAAGAGGTCGCGCACCCCGACGGGAGCCGAGATGAAGTCGCAGTCGAGCCTCGAGGTACCCAAGCAGGTCAGATCGGCTTCGTTCGACGAGATCCAATTGGAAGCGAAGCGCCAAGACGATGTACGGGACGCCAGGTCCACCAGGACGACCTCTTCGTCGTCTTCCTCCTGTTCGCCGGCTAGATCGCAGGACTCTTCGCGCGGGAAACGATCCGCGACGCTTAGGGTGCCACAGTTGCAGAGCGGTCAACGATCAAAGAGCTTCGACGTCTGCGAGAGAAGTTATGGCTCGTCCTCCAGCCAACAATCCCTCAGCAGCGTCCGACGCCCGGAGACGCCGACTATTCAGGTCTCCGGTTGTTATCACTGTGCCTGCGTCGAGGAGTACAAGAGCCTCTACTCCAGCAGGGACGACGACGACCCCTCGTCCAGGGAGGACGAGGTGGCCGAGGACGCGGATGACACCTCGGACGACGAGGACTCCGAGTTGGATCCCAAGAGCGAGGGTAGCCCTGAGATCAGAGTCACCCTGATGACGTTTCCTGAAAAAGAGCCGGAGGTTCGGAACACGGAACCTCCTGCTGTAACGGAAGTCGTTCACCAAGTCGTCCCTCAAGTCGTACAGGAGGAGAACGTCGATAGCAGAGAGTTCACGGGTGGGTTATTTCCGGAGAGACAACGCAGAAGGTCGATCGCCTCCCCTAAGTTGTCGCGACAGGAGGCCCTGACCTCGTATCCCGTCGAGCTGCCCACGCTGGTCAGCTCGACGGAGGAAGAGGAGAAACCAGACGACGACGACGACGACGACGACGAAGATGATAATCTTGGGGCCAGCAAGTGCAAGTTCGTCGTCAGGGACATCTTCCTGACGGTCCCCGAGCTTAAGAGAGACCGAGCAGCCTCCGTGGACTCCTGCTTCAACAACAAGAATGGGAACGTGGAGGACGCGGACACCTTGGCTGTACCTCAGCAGAGTATACGCTCGAAGAGCGTCGATATCGTTCTGCCCACCGAGGCGCAGACGAGGTACACTGCTCTGCTGCCTGGCACCGAGGCTCGACCTACAAGAGGGTGGGTACGTCTGGTGAATGGAGCAAGACCCTTGTTCCGAATACTTTGAATTTTTTTCAATGTCCCTCGCGCGACCGCCTTGTTCACTTTTGCTCGATTCTAAGTGAAACGCTTCTGACTCCTTTTTCTTTCTCTCTTTGTCTCGTTGATGTTGTTTTTTCGTTTGTGCCTCTTCCTTTGTGCTTCCTCGTTGCTGTTTTCGATGTTTTGTTGTTTATCTAACGGATACACTTTGTGTAATTTAATGTATTTAACCGGGGGATGTGCTGGATGTGTTGATATACGATACGTGATTTCCAATGACGAGCGAGAGCGTGCCAAGTATCGAGGGAGGCCACTTTGGACGCGTGAGAATCAAAAGTTTTTATTTATATTCAACAATGTTTTTGTTCGAAAACAATTGAATTAATAAAAGATCCGTTTCCTGGAGCTTATTATTTATATATTGAATAATAGAGAAATAATTGACGTGCGTTGACTGTCGGCAGTTCTAGTGTTAACACTTTGATTAGTCGATAAGTGTCGCAGCACAGTCTCCACTCCACGGCACGTATACATACGCGTACAAGTGCCTTAACATATCGATTTTGTAGCTATAAAAATTTTAAAGCTTCGCTCCAGCATCGCTATTTTATTCGAAAGTTTGAAATAAATATGATTTTTGTATTATTCAATAAATGTATAATAAAGCGAAACGATCTTTTATTAATGTTTTCGCGCGGACGATTTTCTACAGCTGGATTTACTATAAATTGTATAATGGGAATTCTATTAGGTCTACTGGTCACTCGACAATTAATTTTACATGTCAAGTTTTTATCATACTTTTATGTATGTAACAGGATTTTGATGTACGATTATGGTGTAGGAGTTTGCATTTCTATTAATTTCATATAATAATATAACACATACAGTTGATTCGAGAACCAATTAATTTTATATCTAAACAAAAGAGCGTCATGCGAGACGATCGTATATCGTCAGACTTGTGATACGTCGGATAATCGATACCTCGGATAACAGATGCTCGGATACTCGTGAAATTGTAACATCGAATCTCCGTTTAATCGAGATCCTTCTGATTTTCTTTTTAAAAGGTACACTTTCCACTAATACGAAACAAAACTGTTCGAGTAATGGAACTTTCAAATAACAAAGCATTCACTTTTCTGATAACGATCGCTTCATTTTCCAGATAAAAAAAAATACAGACTGATAATTTGTTCAATTGATATAACATTTCGGCCATTAAAGTGTGTTGTTTTTTTCAGTAATGCCGTACTGTATTTTTTAGAATAATTTAAACATCGTTAATTAAAGAATAATATTTCACAGGTTCATCTAATTGCTTGGAATTAAATTTCTAGTTTATCTTGAACTATTAATAATCCATTTTTCTAATGCCACGAGTGCTTCATAGAATCTCGATGAAAACGTCTTTTAATATCGGCATCTTTCGCTCGATCTCGTGCATTCTTGTCTAGTTTATGAGAGTTTCCAGTTCATGAATTCTTTCTTAACTTAGTTAAGAAGTTTTATTATTCGCTAGTTTTATTTAGGTAGTATATAGATAGTAAATTTACTATTGTAAAATTATTCGTTCAATATTTTAAGTACAAGTTAAATTGTTAGATGTCCCTTTAGAATTATTTAATTTCATTTTGGAGTACAAATTCAAATACTAATTTTCACTTGACGAGCAGCGAGTGAACAGTTGTTTATCTTTTATTCGTTATTCGAAACTTCCGGACAGGAATTTTGTTCATCTCTGGGGAGAGGAAGGAGACAAGTTTCTCTTGTGAAACGTTTGCGTTCCGTTAGGGCAGGAATGGGGAATTTGCGAGCTTTTGGGACGTTAGTTGCGGTCTTTTTGCATATTTGTGTCCAATGTGTAGCTTCTCCGTTATTAATTTATGAAACTATGCTTTCTTTTAGTAAATAATTATCAAATCAATGAATTTCTGCACGCTATGAGCTCGAAACTACTTCTTAATATTACTTCCACCAAGAGACAATTGCTCAGAAATGCATCTCTTGTACGTTAGGAGTTCACAGAGACTCTAAAATCGCAAGCTTTCAATGAACAAGTCCAGAGTCTTCAAAAAAGACCCAAAGCAGAGGGTCGAAAACCCATCGTTACTTCTACAGACTAAGTATACACGCCAAATGTTCAGCAAACACGAGTATACCTACATTATTCTCTCTTGATCCGATTGAGTAGCAACGCTTGCCCTTTGATCTTTATACTGTCTATAAAATTGATTGTTCGTCTACTATTCAGGCTCGCGAGGTGACCCGCGGCCTTCCTATGCCAACGAGTTCTCCATCGTCGCGCCATGCGGCTCACCCTTCGGAAAAGTTCACGCGTGGTGTGTTTAATCGAAGTCAATTTAATTTTGCTGTCTGGTACGTTTACGGGAGGCCTCGATATCGGCGTCTTTTGTGCTCGGACGAGTAACTCGCTCTCTCGGGCTCTTCTATTTCGGGAAGATCAAGACGTCAATGATCCAAGAGGGAAATTGATTAGAACTCCGACGCGTCTAATTGAAGCGCACCGACGCGCGGTGTTCATTGTGGCACGGACAGAAGTTGGTTAAACGTTAAGCTTCTAAAACGAAAGTTCCGTCCTTCAGTGAGCCAAGCGAAGTCGGATAACGAGATTTTTATTACCGTTGTTACGTCGAACCACGATACAGGGATTAAATTCAATTTGTCCGCCCCCCCCCCCCCTAGATACGCGTCCTCCATCATTTTTTCCACGTCACGTTTCCTTTTTGTTCGTCTATCGTTTTTAATACCGACGATTCGTTTCGCCTCGTCGTTGCAACCTGAGTTACGTGACCAGGTAATTGACCAGTGGATTTCTTCAGTGAAGTGCAAAATTGATTTACGATTTTGGAATGTAGAAAGAACTGATACGTGGTTATTTAAAACGATAATTTTTATGACACTCTCGAAGACAGTTGAGAAGAATTCAACTTCAAAATAAATGTAGGAGGGCTAAGTTTGTTTCATGATTGGTTCACTTGGATCCCTTCAATATCATTTGTAGTGTCCGCGCCTCCCATACCCAACAATAAGGAGTCAAATAAGAACACGAAACGTAGGGTGCCTTATTTTTCGGTTAAACTCCTACGCATCCAATTTTATGTCTACCTCGAATGATATCAAAGCCATGTTTGCACATACCCAACAGCCTTTTGCAAAAAAAAAAAAAAAAAATGTTATAAAACTCCAATTATAATTATAAATTTCATCAGAAACTATCTTGAGATAATCCCCAATTAATATGCAAAGCCAATATTTCCCCTAAAGCGTTTACGTATACACGAAAGAAGAGCCATTAATTTTAAACTTTTCATCGGTAGTTTGCTCCTCGAGAGGTTAACGATATCCCTCCTCTGGGACGTTAACAATCTTCCAAAGCTCCTACAGTATAATTCGATGAAAAACGGATGAAAATTCCAAGTTCCTTTCGGTATTATACACCCGGTGCTTTTCGATAATCGCCAAGTTTAATGACACGTTTCGACGACGATAACAATGCTAGCAGGTCATCCGTTTATGACTCCTGATAGAAGGGTGACGGTACTCGAGTAAAAGCACGGGGCGGGTTGGTAAGTACATCATCGCGGGGGGGGGGAGGGGGAGGGGGAGGGGGATGTAAAAGTTGCGAGCACAACTTTCGATAAGGCCAAGATGACAATAATAAACTCGTCACGTACTACGTTCTCTGGTAGGAAAAAAAAATCGTTAAATGAAATTCTCCGCGACCTGAACGAAGTTACGGGACACGGGACACCGTTGCGACGGCATTTCGCAACGAATGGGAGAGTTCGTTTAGATAACCACCAGCTTGTAAAATTGCTAAATTACAGCTTAGTGACATTTGCCAGCGCGATACGACGGTAACGAAATAAAAGTCTCGTAAGGGACACCACTCGATCGTAATCACGTCGATTCGTATGGAACTGTGCACATTGGATAGAGCAATGAGAAATATTAGACGCGTTCAGGGATGAAAATGTTCAGAATGGAGGGCGAACAGAATTGTGTGTGTTGATTGTCTGGTGAAAATTGTGTGGTATTGTCCTAATTGTTTTTTTCTGGACTCATTGTCAGCTGTTTTGTTTTACAGCTCTCCATTTCTACTGTCACAATTGTAGACGAAATACAAATGCATGCTCAAATATATCACAAAAACTAACAGAGGTAGGAGAAAATATTGATGCTGTGGAATCGATAGAATATTGTAAAGTTAACGCGGAGAATGTATCCAAAGCGAGATTATTAAAAATTAAAGGTCACTTAGCACGAAAGTCTTTGGGTAGTTTTTTAAAAAGCAGTCAAGGTTTTAATAGGGCACTTTAAAGCTGCTGTTAGCATAAATTGTTTACGAAGAACACAAAGAACGGTTTTTATCTTGCCAGGCAAAATTCAGTAAATTATGTTAAAATCCTTGAACTGATAACTCTGTTACGAAATTTTCCCTTTTAATACAAGCATTGATAATTAAAGATACATTATTTTAGCCAAAAGTATATATATCTGTTGTTATGACTATCAAATTTCCGCTTATTCTCAAATTTTCACTATAATTTTACAGCGTCGATGTATGATCTTCATATCAACCGTGAAGCATGAATGGAGTTAACGTTAGCGGAGTAGTATCTTTGCAGGTATAATTAAATCACGAGTAATCGTTTCGAAGTTAACTTTCGGCGGGGATTTGCGCGGAGATTAAACTTCGCCGTGCTTTTTTCCCGGAGACTTCGCTGTTTCGTCAATTTTAATTCCATCGAGCCAGCTTGCCACGAACTTTTGGAAGTTCGCGAACTCGTCCCTCTCGGAAGTCGACGAGGGAAAAATTATTTCAATATTCTAGAAGCCTCGATATTCCCTTGCGGCCGTCATTCCTTGTCGAAACACGATCCTTTCGACAAATTTATTCGGTGGATGATTGCACGCTATCAAGTAAATCAACATTTTTACTTTTTCGACAGATATCACCTGTTCTCCTCTTTTTTATACACTAAATTTGAATAAAAACAAAAAATGAGTGTTTTTTATAGTTTTTACCTGTTCATTTTTAAACGATTTACAATCAAGAGCTTGCAATGTTCTTTCTAGTTGTGTGTTTTTTTTTTTAAACAACGTTAGTTCAAGAAAATAGTCGCATATTTTTATTCAGCTATTTTCTTAAACTTTTTTAAAATCATAAACTATTCTATTTAATTAATCTGTTTCTACCACGATTACATTTTATTTATAAGGAGTTGAAACGATTCTAGAAGTTAAATTTGGCGAAAATCCTAAGGTTAAAAGGAAACTTCTCATATATTTCATTGCCGTAAATTTAAATGCTTGTTTTGTGCTCTCCATTCGATTCACGTAAATAAATTTAACGACGATACGCGGTGGCTATACGCCAGAGGTACACAAAATCTGCTTCGTTTATTCAGTTTTTTCAGTCTGTAAATGAAAGTTAGGAATGAGTTGAAAAGTGTGAATAATGGGAATAACAATAAATGCTGATATATGATTAGAAGTTCCATATAAAAAAGTTGTCTTTAAAAGAGAAAAGTTCAGAAGAAATCGTAAAAATTGTCTCGAAACTTACAATAATAAAAGAGTACCTAAAAAGTGACAAGATAAATCGTAGACATACTTTGAGAGAAACCGTTTCGGATGAAAATTCTTCATTTTATTTGACTAGTCGGCGAAAAAGACTAGGTGTCACTTGTTCGCGCCTTTCGCTACGATCTCCACCTGGTACCCGATGAAAATCGTCCGTTCATCCCCCGAAACGATTGATCGTTGCGGTGCACAATACGCTGGCAATTGAAACACGTCGAACGAGACTTTTCATCGCCAGCGAGAAAATGCAGTTGCAGTTTTACGCTTCGAACGGGCTATTTCCGGTTAGCTCCTCGGATAACGAAGACTCGCAATCGAATTACCAGCGCTGGGAATAAGCGTGGAACGCGATACTCGTTCCGTTCGGGTACGCTATGGGTGAAAGTGACATTTTTGTGGAATTGCGTCAAAGCGTACGGGGGAGTACGTCGTTTAATTGACGCTTTCCTATTTCCTTTTCACGCGTGTAAACTGTTGCGCTTGGCTTTTTCATTGGCGCCTCGATTCTTCGCTATTGCAAAATTGAAATTAAAGTCGACACTTGCCAGATGAAGGATTGAAATAAATATGAGAGCAGTTCATAATAATGTAGTATTGATAAGAGAAGCTTGCACTTGGAATTTCGGGGATTTCATAGTTAAATAATACATCAAAAATGGGTGTTTAATTATGAATTAAATGTTTTCTATGTCTACAAATAATTAAAATATAAATATGACGATAACGAGAACGCAACCAGCATCCTTTATTTAACATTTTCGATATACCATGTAAAATCAAGAAAGTTATGTTAAGGATGCTAGTCGAGAGCACGTGAAATTATGTTATACAATCCAAATACAAGCGCGCGACGTATCGCTAGAATTTATTACCGCCGATATCGACGTTTCGACGATGTTCGTGCACCCTCGGTAGACCTCAACTTGAAGCGTTTTTTAACATTAATGCGAACACGTGAGCGCGGAACTTTTGTCGAAGACATCCGAGGAAACTTTCCAGCAATTTTCCCGCGTTCCAGTTTCGCATCCCACTTGATACAGCGCGTTACAAACTGTCGATACTCTTATCCATTTTTTGTTGCATATAAAAAGCCCAGGGAGAGTGCTCGCGAACCTTGTACACCGAACACGTTTCAGCGATAAAAGTAACACTTTCAGGCGCCGTTCCCGCGAGAAATCACGAGTTCAATTTCCCCTTTCAAGGATTTTTGTTGTTGTGATCGATGCCCGGGCTGCTTGGTACTCGTTGAAAATGCCGGAATAGGCATAATACGTTCGCAATTTACCGTGCTGTGAATAATAAATGAGAGGTTTACGGAGACCTAGGTTGGGGTAGTTTTATTTTTAAAAATAGTACAAAAGAAGTATTTCTAGCGGGATAGAATGATTTTTGGAATGCTGGACTCTTCGATAAGATTGATTCAAGTGTCTGCTGCCTAATGGCAAATAGGTAGACTGTATCACTTTAAAATCTATAGAAATACAAATAATTACATCTATTTCTATATACTAGATTCAAACTACAATTCTCGCGATTATTATTCTCTTAAAAACAATTTTCCAAACAATACCTTTCTTTCTAGTCGCCATTAAGAATACTCCCTTAATGAAATGACGTATAATCGAGACCCTTTTCATAGAGATTTCGCGTTCACTGTATTTGAACCAGACTTCTCGACTCAGAAGTCGATCGTAGACGCAATCAGTGTGTTATGCAAGCTCCCCCAGATTTATTTTCCATTCTGTGTAGTTTAATTAAGTGGGGATTCTGTGCGGATTAATTAACTAGGGAATAATAATTTATTACACCGGTCCACCCGCTGTACACGGCACATGAATATGCAAACGTTCATTTCAAACACTGATTACAACATCGCGATGAAACTAATTACTTTCATCGTTTTACTTGTACCCACTCTTCACGATAGATGAAGTACGTTACCCTTGCGTGCTCCCTTATGCTAGCATATGCGTGGGTGGCATTCTATTAATAATACTAGCGATAATCGTACATCTTCGGTATATACAAGTTTTGTGTTTCATCAGGCTTTGTCTGAGTGCTGCACACGATATTTAACGATGAACATTTGGAGCAGGGACAGAATTGAGATTAATATTAAAATACCACAAATTCAATCGCCACAATTATTGTATCAAGAGATTAATAAGCCATCAGTACCTCGTACTACCAGTTTGCATGAATAATTTTCCATAATTAATGTATTTAATTATTCTGATAGTTGCGTCGCTTTGATAACATTGTTTTTAAATCATTTCCATTAATCGATCGTTACTGCAGAGACCTCAAAATGAGAATCGTGTCGTTTAACATTTACTTCTCGTAGAATTAATCAATCGCAAGGCCTCTTAATTCTTCGAAAGTTCTTCCCTTGTGTAAGGATGTGCAAACTGTCGTCCTAGTTCTTCTAATTAAACGACCACAATTTATAACTTCCATTTGATTATCGTAAATACCACCGAGCAACAGGAAATCCGTCGTAGTTCGTTGATCTTCCATGTTGTTAAGAATTTGACCTCTCGATTCATTCGACGACAGATTTGATGAACTAGGTGGATGCCAATAGCGCATGGGGATCGACTTTTGAATATTGAGAGGTCTTGAAAGGCCCAAAGACCAGCGGACCGAGCTCGGTCTATTGGCAAATGAAATTTTCAGAGGCGGTATTACGACCGCGTATTCTCGAGGGAATGCTCGTGAATCCTTAATGCCTGCAAAGCGTTCATTATTAAGGAACTAATTCTACATAGCGTACCGTTCCGCAGCTAACTTCTGTTATATTTAGAATTTACCCTGAGCACGGTAAGTACACGTGCTCTCATGTTTGCCTACTGTCTGGATTCCGAATTGTTACTGCCCTGTTCATGTGAGAAGATACTATTCCAGGGAACATTATTTTTACGACAATCACCCCTGATCACGCTTTTTTTTATTAATCAGAACTCGGCTAGGTTGTGAAAAGAACCTTTAACAGCTAAATGTAAATACTCATTTTTATAGTTCGTTGTTAAAAACACAATGTTGGTGTAATATTAAATTCTTATTTGAAACAAAAAACCACATTAACTTACACTGTAAATATTTCATTTTATATATTTCTAAAGATATCGTTTAGTTTAAAGACAAGCTCCTTAAAAAAAAAAAAAAAATAATATTTAAACGATGTGTCGAACATTTAAGTGATGTATTATTCGTCTCTCTGTTAATTTCTTTTTTGCACGAACCGGTTGAATCAATGAGAACCAAACGTTTTTCTCTTCCATTTCAATCCTCGGCGGTATACGAAACGGATTATCGTTGAATATTGAAATCCTTCTACGGAAATTTGTTCAATATTCGCTACGAAGTATTGCGGTAGAATTTCCTTTTTCAAAATTCCGTTGGATTGTGCTGGCGGTGTTTTCATAGTACAGTCAGTGGGCGGTAGCTCGTCCTGTGATTCTATGCACATCTGCATAATGGTATTCAGTATTGACTTTGAGGATGACACAATATTGAAATAGCAGTCAGCAATCACCGTGTGATTGAAACTTTTGCTTAATTTTTCTAGATATTTCTTTCTAAATTAAAGAAAAATATTTGTTTTCACTTAATCTCTTTCAACGATAATTTTCTTGTAGAACTTTTAATTATTTATCAACATTTCTTGTTGTTATCGTATACAATTTTTTAAAAATTGCAAGTAAATTTAGAATATGGAATTCAGGGGAAGCTTAATTTCAGGACACTTATTTTTCAAGAAAATTTTCGACGAGATACTTAATTTTTACGAAACCACTTTTCATAACTGTTGGGGGGAATTGAAATATTCAGGTCGAGAGTTTTATTTTAAATTCGAAGCTTGGAGGGACTACGAATAATTATGGATGCTTTTATTTTGAATAATCAAGCAATTTTCACGATTAATATTCATACTCCAGAGTTCAAAGCCTCGTAATTTGTTGATAAGTGCTTTCAGGTTGCCCATAGGGACATCAGATCATGTAAACAAAGCCAGCAAAGCGTTAATAATAAGAACGCAACTATACCATTCCTTTTTGAGTTTGAGTTTGGGAACACCCTAGTATAGTGCGCTGCAGATTATCCCTCGGGGTTTTGGACTAAAATCGTTCGAGAATTTGAATGTTTGACTTTGGCTAGCCTCGTACTTGACTCCAGCGTGTGTGTGTATAGGTTTTCATGTGAGTTTCAGTATGACTTTGCAAGTTGGTCTTTCGTAGCTTTAATGCGAAGCGTTCGCAACGTGGCCAATGAAACTGGACCGGGGTTTCGAATTTTCTTTGTCCTTTTCATTAGCGTTGATTGGCGAGCGCCGGAATGCTGTTGGGGCAATATTTCTTCTAAGATTAAACTTGGACATTCTTATGCGGCACAGGTAATGTTTCGCGCATAATTAATATAATTTTCAGCGCGGGAACGAAGAAGATATTGAGGTAATATTTACCCGCATCGCTGGAGGGTTGTTAGTTATAATTAATTCTTCGCCCGGTTACCGGATAGGAAAATTTTCTTATTTGATGGGATCTACATTCTTAATCTCGCGTGAGAGCTGTAATAAGTAAGCCTCCGACAGCTTTTGCAAGAGTATTTTGTTTACATTGTCTCTGCCAGGTGCATTAGGTTTTTTGACGTAACATTTTCTTTCTTTGTCAAGGAAGACATTCAGCCATCCCAATTTTTATTTAAGTTCGAATTTGAGTGTCTACGCTTACAAGTTATACATATTTACTCCTAAGATGGCATACAAAAAATAAATGGCTTACTTAATCCTTTAAATATCTCCCTCATTTATTTATTTTTATACATACAAACTTCTTTGTTAATACGATTGCATAAGTCTCTGAAAAGTGAGTTTTATTGGCGAATACCATAGTGTATATCGTTATCTTGCCGATGGTGAACGCATACACTTTTAATACTGCGTTTCGAGTCTGATAGAAGCTTTAAAAGGATCATCTCGAATTTTATTCGCTCCAGTTCCGAGCCATTTGATCGCTTCGTTTGTGGTTAATTGCAGCTATCCTACATAAAGCGATCACTTTCGAGTTTTACTGTTACGTTCTCCGTGAAATTCGGGTCAAAGTAATCGAAATATCGACAGGCCGATGGATGTAATATTTCGTTTCATGTCCATGAAAAATAATATTCCAAAAGAGTATTGCACAGTCTCGTAATGGAAATATTGAAACACAAAATAAATGATTTCTCTCGGTTTTCTTTAATATTCTTCTGTCACAATTACCATATGTTGTTCGTGAAATATTTGAATGCTATTTTACAACATATGTTTTATTAGAATCTGTGGAATTGGGAGATGATGCTTGAAAAAAATTATATATATTAAATTATTTTTTTTTTTTTTTATTGGAATTCTGAGGATTCTGATATATTAACTCTGCATGAGTTAATCTATGAGACCAATTTTCGTTACCAAACCCACGAGCTTATGCGATATCGTGGGATTCGATTCGAGATAGACACGCGTATCGAGCCCAGCATGTAAAAAACTACGGTCGCATCGTGTTCCGTTCGCCTGTCTCGTGTCCGACCCAGATATCCGGTAATTTCCGCAGGCTAATTATGCAGAAAGCACGGGCACGGAGCAGTGCGCGAACGCAACCTAAAATTTTGATATAATCGTCTAAAGGGACTCGAAGTCCAGGGATGACTTTTGTCATTAAACTTGTACGCCGCGGCGCGCATTATGTGCTGGTCGCGACTCGGAAATTTAAAGTGTTCTTGAATTTTTCACGACCCTCTGCTCTCAGGAGGCTCTATAGAGTAGCATTAAGTCCCTCTTTGGTCGCCATATCGTCGGAAATACTGAGCAACGGCGAGTTCAAGTTATTCTCGAAACTTTGGCGTGCTATAGCGCTTCACCTATCAGTAAAATCTGGGAAATTCGCTCGTCTAAAGCGGTAACCCTGTGCCGGAATTGAATGATCGCTGAATAATTTCGATACCAGCGGAAGCTCGCCCGAGATATTCATTAATAATTTTGTTTGCGATGGTACAGTGCCAGAAAGCAATGTTTTTCCGACATCTACAGGGTGTTCATCGTAATGGCCTGCACGATTTCTCAGGTATTTTCAATCATTCCAGGAGCAACTGGCAAACGTTAATTAGTATTTAGTTCACTATAAACTTTTGTCCAGAGATTTTTTCGTCAATTTCTTGAAAATGCCTGAAAAATCGTAGGTATCGTGGCGACGCACACCCTGTATATAGTTTGTCTGTAGATATTAACTTTTCAATTGGGCTGCGAATTTTATGCATTTGTCGCAGAATGATTGGATTTATATGGAATTTAATTTGAATATTGTTATTAAATTATGAAATATTCTAAGTATATTCTATGCTTTCAATGCATAAAATCCATAGTCTATGAACAATCCACGCCAGGGTTGTAATGGCATAATTATATAATAATACAAACTAATATTTGACAGTCTTTTAAAGTGAACAACTTTTACTACGTTTTGAATCTTGCCTTTTAGTTATCTTCAGAACCTCTAAATACCTCTAAAGAATCAAATTTACATTTAAATTTGTTAAGTTGATTTCACAATAGAATATAATGACACTTTGTTCGGTCAGAAATTATAATAATAAAATATTACAAATTTTTTTTACAATGGAGAATTTCAGTAAAAATTTCTATGTAAGAGTGTCCGATAGAATTCGTGTATAAATTGACATTGATGGCAATTAATTTGTTACTGAAGTGGAATTGTGAACGATATTGTGTGTATAAAATGAACGAATATTGAATTTTATTTTCAGCTTCGATAACTGTCAAATGAAACGCAACTGGAGGTTTGTAAAATATAAAATATAACGTCAATTTTAGTTTTAATTACGCGGTTTATACAAAATGACTAAAATAATGAAATAATTAATAAAACTATTTTCAAATTCTGCAGCAATAACATATTTTACATTAAATTCATAAGCGAAAAGAACGTTTTATATTAAATGTAATATCAAACACCCTTATTTATTTTTTATTTTACATTTTAAAATTTCCATCGTTGCATTGAATTTGATTCTTATTGAAATAAAATGCCTCTATAATCGAATAAAAATCAATATTTAGTTATCCAAGCATGTCTTTATAGTTATGACATATTTTCCAATTCTATTTCAATAATAAACAGATCATAAATCAATTTCATTTTACATATGAACTTCGAAATCTTCAATTTTGAATTTTTGTTTACATTCTCTGTTTATGTAAATATTTTGCTTGTGAAAGTGTGACTATACTCCTTTACGCAACAAACTTTGTGAATTTGTATTTAAATTTAGTTTCGATGTTTGCGCGATTTGCAGATGACTCGAAGCCAAGAGTCGAAACGTAATAAAAAATAGCGTTTATTTTGGGACTGCCAAATATTGACCCCTATCATTTTACGTTAACAAGCACCTCTACTGAAATTTATTTAAATCACAGTTTAGGAATGCAACCGTCCCAAGTAATTCAGTCTGTGACTATGATTATGTTCATAGGATGAGGACGAGTACAACATTGAGAGTATTTAATCGAACGAAGGTAGCAATTCAAGTTTATCAGCAATAACAAATTTGCAGATGTGAGCATTGTTTTTATTTAACGCTAGACATTGTTCACGTTAACAGAATTATATATAAATGTGTGTGGTCAGCATGAGTGCCCCAATGTCGGAATGCTAAATGCTGCTTTTGTTTTACAGTCTTTGATCAAATTGTTACATACATTAAAAATAAATTTCTCGACACTTTCTCACTACCGAAGTCACAAGAAAACCATTATTTTTTATATTTCAAGATATATATTGTCAAATACAAAATCGTTTATTATTGTACGACTCATAGTTCTTCTCTTTGTAATTTCCAAAGAAGCCTCTCCTTTTACACGCATACAGTAAACGAATGTATTCTTAAATTGACCAAATCTATTACCAAAAATTCATTAGAAAATCTTTCTTCCTCGTCTCTAAAAATAATTTGATCAACGACTCGAACCAGTCCGTCCGATGGCTTTGATTTGCGAATCGATGTGTAACAAATCGTCCGTGCTTTTTTCTTTTGTTTAGTGCTCGAATCGATCGTCGTCGCGATACGTTCTCTAATTTTGCGTACAGCTGACTCGAATATCCGTTTCCACGGATAGTCGTTACTGTTCTTGTCGGCACGTATTGCCCGGCGCGGCGGCGGCGTCGCAATTGGGATTTCTGTAGAGGAATTAATGTCAGCTGCAAGAATCCACCCCCGATATCGAAGTGTCACCGCGTAATCGAGTGTCTTACGGTTTCAGAGGGAGAGAAGAGGGAGGGACGAGTGGCGGCCACCGTGAACCTCGATCCACGCCCGATTGGGGTCCTGGTGCAATTAATGGGGAACATCTTTGGGTACCGACGTCAGCTTCTGGTGACTTCTGTTACGTCAACGATTGCTCGGTAAGTTTCATGCAGAGTCATTATGCTCCCCAACTAAGGGCGATTTTAGGGATTTGGGCTAAAATGAAGGTAAATCGTGGAGGATAATTTAGCGTGGTTTAATAACTTTTACTTGTGATGACAAAATCATTGTATCGCAAGCCCCTTGACTTTTATTATTTTTACGATATCGCTACGTCGTTACGTATATTATTTTTTTTCGATATTGCCACGTCATATATTCGGATCATAGGAAAAAATAGAGAAAGAGGAAGGTAGATAGAGAGGGAAGGAATGGAGATGGAAAGTGACAGCGAAGGGAACAAAGATTTTCCGGAAACAAAAAGACATTGTTAGCGACAACTGGGAGTTCTGAATGCGTTCCAAAGTGTTTCAATTAACACAGCGCGGAGGAGTCGGTGTATGTGTACACGTGGGCCAAGGTAGCCAGGCATCGTTAACAGAGCGAAAATGTCCACCTGGTTTGCAAAAAAATTCCCGAAAACTGGAAGGGTCGTTAATTTAATAGAAATTCACGACGCATATTTTTTTTTAAATTATTCGTTTAGCTTCGTTCTTTTGTTCGTTTGTGCTCCTTGGTTGTTGATTTACCTTTTCTTGCCCACAGACATTAGGGGTAGTCTCTTATCTAAATTGGAACGTTGGAGGTTTTCCATTCTACAAGTGAGGAATGTATATTTATGAACTCGATCATACACATTGTACATGTTACCTAAATAAGGTTTATACATAGTCTGACTCTATGCGTCTTCATTTTATTAAAAATGCCAAGGATGTCTGAATGTACTGATCCTTATCTTGGAAAAGTTGTTTTCCTTTGTTGGAGAATCTTCTTTGAACAGATGCTATGTTTATACAGTCATGTGTTCTATACATTTTGCAAGTAACTTTAGAGTACAGTTCTATCCAATTAGGGAATCCCAGTGTTCTATACTTGTGAATGCTAATTAAAATTTGTTAGATGAATGAATTCCTCTGCATTTAATGTAGCACACTTATGTCATACTGTACTATTGTACAGCATCTAATTTAAGTAGCATTTAGCATCATTGAAAGTACCAAGGGTGCGCTGTCATCAAATTCAATCATTTTCACGAATAATTTTGATTCTCTCATCACTCTCCCCGGTACAATAAAAAGGATCTCATAAATGTCCCGTCGCGCCTGTTCCCCCATTTCACTAAATGTGCTATGAAGGATATTCAGTGCGTCAAGGAAACGGATAAGGATAAGACCGAAAAGATTCATAAAACTTTTTACGATTACACTGTTCCACACTTTTGAGTCGTACTAGATGTTCCTTTGCATTCCCCTAAACGCGCCATTAAAAGTGTTCCGTGCGTCGAGGAAGCGCAGGATAATAAAAATGAAAAAAATTCATGAAACTTTTTATCGGCATGCTTGCAAGTTGTAAGATCGTAGATGGGATTCCGAGCTTTCATTGATCGTAAATGTCCGACAGTTGGTGCGAGTAGGGTGAGTTACGTAAACGAAAAATTATTATAACAGAAGAGTCAGCGAATGCAAATTCTGGCGTGATAATCTTTTATGTGGACCTTCTTTAGTGGTTTTTTTTTTGTTGGTTCAATTCATCTTTGGAGCTACGTTCACATTTTACGGTGTACCGTGCATACATGGCGATCATATTCTGTTACATGAATTTCGTGTCAAGATTTTGGGTTTCCTTGTGATCGTTTTTCTTTTTTTTTTTGCAAATGACCAAGTTTCTGCTGCTACTCACCCCAGTAAGGTATTAACTGCAGGATAGGTTGAGGTATTAATGGAAATATCTGAATATAAAAAGTTTTTAAATTTAATTTCTCGCAATTTTTGTGGAATACGTTTTTGCTGCAAAGGCAACCATAAGCGAGATAGCACACGCTGCTTTATGTTTGGGGCAACCGCAACCCATTTCGTCAGCGAAAATTATGCAACGTCACTCAGGAGAGAGTTTTAATTAGGCTATTCAATGTATACCCATGTAAAATGGGGTTACTTTGCAATTTATGGATTCGAATGAATTCTACTACGGATTTGTTACAATTTTATTTGACAATTGTGTAATCATTATTATTTAAGCTCTTTGGGAATTGCAATCTTGCAATAACGCACTCATAATGAATTCCTCGAAAATAAACTTCCTCAAAAAATAAAGAATTCGTGAACATTTCTAAAATGAAATTAATACATTGAGGACAATAGTACTCGTGAAAATTTTATGAAACAGTTTTTACAGAAGAAATTCTATTTATACGACCGAAGTATCAATCGGAGCGTCACGTTTCGTGCTGCACAATTTAATTCTGAATGTTTCGACGCAGCATCGAGTTTCATAACACGCAATGGGCAACAAGTGCGAGAACGCAGAGTAACGCTCCATTTGATTTCCAATGATTTACGTTCTTTTCGCCGTGAATAGCATCAGCGAGACAGGAGAATCTCCCGCGAACGCGGCATTGTCCAAAGCCATTTGGATTTATCCAAACCAAACGGTGTCACCGAAACAGGAAATTGATCAGTGGTTGAATACATTTTCGCCCCAGAACACGCTCATTGTCTTCCTGGCATTGTCGTTTCCCGACAAGTTTTTATTTAATCGCGTCGCGCCGACAGATATAAAAGCGGCGACGAAATAATATGGAAATTCGCGCGTCTCGATGAAACACCTGTCTCGCGTTACTGGGTTCGAGTTCTCGACGGAAACGCGTTGATATTAAAAATTTCAAACAACACTTGCTGCACGAGAATATTGCGTGGGTATTGAAGGCATCGTTAATGAGAATTTTTATTTTATACATTTTTCTTCGACGCTTTTGTTCGCCATACTGAGGCGAAGAACAACGTGTATGGGGCAGAAATTACCTCGAATGAAGGAGAAATTGATTACAAAATTTACAATATTTTTATGAGATGCTAAGTAGACTTAGAATAATGTCAGCTGACTTATTTGTAATTTCAGAGTAAAATAATTGTAAAAAGTAGCGCTCTTTTTGTTTGAAAGTAGCTAGTATTCTTACAATATTTTGTTATTATTTTTCATGGCCTACTTTTTGCAGGAAATTTTTGCGAACACTCCGATTTTTACATATCTCGAGTGATATATAACGCTGTACGTGTCGGCTAATCCTATCTTTTTTAATTCCAGCTGCATCCAAAAGCACGCTTTGATGAAAGTATGAATAAAACATGATTTCCATTCTGTTGTTCTTTCGTCGCCATTAAAATTAGCATCAAGTGCGTTTTTACTTATTCTGAGTTGCAAAAACTTTGGGAGAAAAAGATGTTACATCTTGGCAAAGTGCAAGTGGAAATTAGATCTGACGAAATTGTTAACATCGGTGAACGTATACATAATATCGAACGATCGATCATGGTGAACCATTTATATGAGTATTCTGTGCCACTGAACGGTGGAATAATTGCATACGGTTATACAGCAAGGTCGATATCGCGAGCCTCGCTAATAAATCATAGAGTGAACCGATCGAATGTTACGGCAGTCGTTTTCTCGTTATTGCATTAAACGATAGTCGTTTCAACGAGTTAATAATTACCGTCCACCTAGGGAATGGTAGTGTGGAATAATATTGATGGGAGAAAGAAAAAACATGCTTCGAAGTAATTTAAAGTCGTATCGATTCAGATGTTTTCCAGTAGGGTTTTATATAACTTACGTTACGTTAGTTACACTTTCATTTCTAACTGAATTGTTTATTTTAGAAACGATGTTAATAAAACATATTAATATATTACAATTAAAAGTCTATAAGGAGATGGTAATAATGAAGAAATTGTTTTTTATTTTAAAGTCTATTTTTCGAGTCTATTCTAGTTTCTAATTTTTATCTTGTTTTTTCAAAATGTCCATTTCTAGCAATTGAGATGTGATTCTCTATTAATAGATCGTTCGAAAATGTGTTATACAATTTTTTCGCCCGGGGCTTCTGCCAACACGTGTCTGACTATGTTTCGGTATTTCTACTGATATTGGTGTTTGTGGACATTAACGCTGGTGTAGCATTGTCTGTTTTCTATTTATCTTTCTATATACCCTCTAACTAGTTAAAATTAGTTATAATTGATAATAGTAAAGCATTATCAATATTTATATGTATCAAAACTAGTAGAAATAAATTGTTTCTTTCTAACGAAATGTTTCTTGCTTTGTTACGTTCAAAATCAGAATAATATTAATATTAATATTAAAAATTATAGTTTGGAATAATCAGTACTGGACAAATTATTCTCATCCGTAAAAACAGACTGTACTGGTCAGACAAGTCAACCAAGTTCTACTCAATACCACACATGCTATATAATTTTTTAAACTTAATGTTCTCAATAGTGGAGTCTGTTGCAACAAAATTGTTTCTACATTTTTTAAATAACTTTACTAAAATATAGTGAAAAACACAATCGAATAATTTCATAAAAATGAATGTACTCACAAAGTGTCTGAGTATATCTCTGCGTGCTTTCACCATCAGATGCGCATTACTTGATTCCCTAAAAAGTTTAACAAATCTAACAAGGTCCAAACCCCCCAAAAACAACCTCATACTCTTTTTTCATTACTTCTCGCGCAAGTCCATACATTGTATATCCCTCGATTCGAGTTGTCAGCGCAAAACTCGGCCACGGGAGAAGCGAATGTGTTAAAACGATTTTTAATTGCTTTCCGGCGACCCGTTTCATTTCTTTTTTTTTCAGCAAAACGCGACAGAGTACGCGATGGCACTTTATCAGACTTCGTGTGCGCCCGGTTGCTTCGAGTTTACGAATCCTTTCGTATTTGTTGAACTTTTAATTACTGTTTAATTCAGAAACACGAGGCGTCCCAGTTGCTAATTATGCTTCCTGTTTTTTTCGCTGTTTTTCATTTTCTCGAGCGTGCTCCTTCGGCCCCACTGGACCAATCTCGCGGGGCGTTACGATCCGGCGTTACTTTTCATTAAGGCGTCGCACAAAGATTAAAATGAGCTCGCAATTTGCCGCGTGAA